TTATTCTAGATTCTAGTTTTTACTAGGATAGGAACTGAAAAAGATTCTAAATAGATTATCATTATAAGAACTTTTCTTTAAAACACAATACATTTTTTTAAGCCAAAAAAACAAAAAAAAAAAAAAGAGAGAGAGAGAGAGAGAGAGTACAATAGGTTAAACCGTAAAAAAAAAATGTTGGGCTCCATGGAGAAAAGAATGGTAGACTGGAATGTTGGTCTTTTATGTGACTATACTTCACAACTAGTCTTGCAAATATTGCTTCTTGTGTCATCTGTCCCAGGGAGAAAACCTAGTGTCAAATCATGTTCTGAATCACAAATTAAGGAGGTTTTTGAAGTGTTATCTTAATAATAAGATATTCTCAATACTTTTACAGTATGTTCTCTTAAACATTATAGTTAAGGTCGAATGGCTTCATTAAAAATTAAGGGTTAGTTTTATTTTCCATATTGATCATATTTTGCTAAAAACAAAACACTTCACTCTCTTTTATGTTTACATTATTGCAAAAAAAAACAGGCTTAAGAAAACACTTTTATGTTTGTAGTGCTTAATAGTACTTTCAGAGGAAGTACACATAACATTAATATCTGTTCAGACACCTTTGTGGATATAGACACTGAATGTTGGGTCATGTATAGGTAATTATTCTTAGGCTGTTATAGGAATTATACCTAAGTGAAATGATTAAATAATGGACAGCAACAAATAAGCAACAAAAACATACCATGTATATAGCACATGATGGATACATTAGGATGGATTGCTACTTATGTTTTTAGGTACTAGGAAAAGGATGTAAGGATAGGATGTAAACATACATGTGTACATATTGTAATGTGTTCAAGAAATCTAGCATTGAGATATGTGGTTGGCTTAGGGTAGAATATTTGACACATCAGTGGATGCTAGGTGACTTGAGAACCTGGTTTTTGAACTGAAAACATCTACACTGAAGCTGAGTTTATCTCCTGACTGGAGAGAAGCTATACATCAATGTCATACCATTTCCTTCAAAGAATCACTATCATTTTAAGTCAGAAAGAGATTTTTAGACAAAAATCTATGCCTATTGATGATTAATGATATTATATTATCAAATACATTTCTGTGATACTCAAGATGTTACTTTATAATGCAAACATACAGATCTTTAAATATGTTTACTATTACTAGCCAAGTTCAGTCATGTATTGGATATGTTAAATTCCAGTAGTCATGAAATGTTGATCAGCAAACCAAGTCTCCAGATGAAATCTCTTATGGAAATTCAGTACCTAGAACATGAAAATATGAAAGTGAACTTCTTGAAATGTTACACAGACTAGGAACACCAGTTACAATATTTTTCTGATATCCACCTCTCTTTTTTTAGGGGAACTCCCACTCTCCTAGTTATCTGTTAACCACAGTTTTAAAATTATTATTATTTTTTTGCCATTGCACAACATTATTTTTACTCAAGCTTTTATTTAAATTCCAGCAGTTAGCATACAGTGTAATATTACTTTCAGGTGTAGAATTAACTGATTCATCACTTACATACAAAAACTTATTACTGGTGCACTCCTTAATCCTCAACACCTATTTAACCCATCTTCCTTCTGGTAACCCTCCGTTTGTTCTCTATAATTAAGAGTATGTTATTTGGTTTACCGCTCTTTTTTTCCCCCTTTATATTTGTTTGTCTGTTATATCTATATATAATAGATATTTGGGCTCTTTCCGTAATATGTCTATTGTTGATAATGCTGCTATAAACATCAGGGTGTGTGTATCCTGTTGAATTAGTATTTCTGTATCCTTTTGTAAATACCTAGTAGTACAATTTGCTGGATCATAGGGTAGTTCTATTTTAACTTTTTAAGGAACCTACGTGCTGTTCTCTGGAGTGGCTGCACCAGTTTGCATTCCCTCCAACAGTGTAAGAGGATTGGTTCCTCTTTCTCTGCATCCTTGCAAATATGTGTTGTTTCTTGTGTCATTAATTGTAGCCATTCTGACTGATGTGAGGTGATATCTCATGTACTTTTGATTTGTATTTACCTGATGATGGGTGATGTTGAGGATCTCTTCATGTGTCTGTTAGCCATCTGTATGTTTGTTGTTTTTTTTTTTTTTTAATGTCTATTCATATCTTCTGCCCATTTTTAAACTAGATTATTTGGTTTGGGGCATTGAGTTTTATAAGACCTTTATATATCTTGGATACTAACCCATTATCAGATATGTCATTTGTAAATATTTTCTCCCATTTCAAAAGCTGCCTTTTAGTTTTGTTGATTAGTTCCTTTACTGTGCAGAAGCTTTTATTTTGATGAGGTCCCAATGGTTTATTTCTGCTTTATTTTCCTTGCCTCTGGAAACATGGTTAGTAAGAAGATGCTACTGCTAATATCAAAGAGGTTACTGCCCATCTTATCCTCTAGGATTTTAGATTTTAATCCATTTTTAATTTTTGTGTATAGTGTAAGAAAATGGTCCAGTTTCATTCTTTTGCATGTTGCTACCCAGTTTTCCCAACACTACTGGTTGAAGAGATTGGCTGTTTTTCTTTGGATATTCTTTCCTGCTACAGTGAAGCTTATAGTCATGGTTCATTTCTGGGTTTTCTATTCTGTTCCATTGATCTATGTATCTGTTTTTGTACCAGTACCATACCGTCTCAATCGCTACAGCTTTGTAATGTAACTTGAAGTCTGGAATTGTGATGTCTCCCGCTTTGCTTTTCTCTTTCAAGATTGCTTTGGCTATTTGAGGTCTTTTGTGGTTCAATAGGAAGTTTAGGATTGCTTGTGAAAAATGCTGTTGGTATTTTGATAAGGATTGCATTTGGCATGATAATTGTTTTTCCATACCCTCATTTTCAAGCTGCAAGTGTCCTTAAATCCAAAATGAGTGTCTTGTAGGCAGCATATAGATGAGTCTTATTTCTTTTTTTTTAATGTTTTTTTTAAATTTTTATTTATTTATGATAGTCACAGAGAGAGAGAGAGAGAGAGAGAGCAGAGACACAGGCAGAGGGAGAAGCAGGCTCCATGCACCGGGAGCCCGACGTGGGATTCGATCCCGGGTCTCCATGATCGCGCCCTGGGCTAAAGGCAGGCGCTAAACCGCTGCGCCACCCAGGGATCCCATGAGTCTTATTTCTTTATCCATTGTCACCTTATCTGTGTCTTTTGATTGGAGCATTTACATTCAGAGTTACTATCGATAGATATGTATTTATGATCATTTTATTACTTGTTTTGTCATTGTTTCTTGAGATTTTCTCTGTTCCTTTCTTATCTTTGTCACTTTTTCTTTCTTTCTATTCACAGAGCCTCCTTTAATATTTCTTGCTGGCTTAGTGGTCACAAACACCTTTAATTTTTGTTTATCCGGAATCTCTTTATCTCTCCTTCTATTGTGAATGATAGCCTTCCCAGAGTATTTTTGGCTGCAGATTTTCCCCATTCAGCACACTGAATACATCATGCCACTCTCTTTTGGCTTGTGAAGTTTCTGTGGCTTGATCTGTGGCTAGCCTCTTGTATCTTCCTTGTAAATTAGGGATTTCTTTTGTCTTACTGCTTTTAGGATTTTTTCTTTATCATTATGTTTTGCAAATTTAATTCAGTAAGTCTTGGTGTTGTCCTGCTTTTGTTGATTTTGATGGGAATTCTCTGTGCCTCCTGGATCTGCATGTCTGTTTCCTTCCCCAGATTAGGGAAGTTTTCAGCTATGATTTCCTCAAATTTTCTACCCCTTTTTATCTCACTTCTCTTCTGAGACTCTTATAATAAGAATGTTACTATATTTGATCACTGAGTTCCCTAAGTCTATTTTCATGTTCCATAATTTTTCTTTCTCTCATGTTAGCTTCATTATTTTCCATTATTTTATCTTCTATATCACTTATGCATTCCTCTGATTCTTTCATCTTTGTGTTCATTGTATTCAGTCTGTTTTGATCAGTTACTGCATTTTTCATTTCTGATTCTTTTTAACTCTTCTGTCTCTATGGTAAGAACCTCCATGAAGTCTTTTTTCAAGCCCAGCTAGTATCCTTTTAATTGTTGCTTTAAATCCATCAGGGGATACCTGGGTGGCTCAGTTGGTTAAATGTCTGCCTTTGGCTCAGACCATGATCCCAGGGTCCTGGGATTGAGCCCCACATTGGCTCCCTGCTCAGGGGAGAGTCTGCTTGTCCCTTCCCCTCTGTCCCACTGCCTGCTTGTGCTCTCTCTCAAATAAATAAATAAAATCTTTAAAAAATAAAAATAAGATATATTCTTCATCCTGCATATTATTTATATCTGTTTCACTTAGATCTCTGGCCAGGACCTTATTTTATTGTTCCATTTGGGATGAATTCCTCAGTCTTGGCATTTTGTCTAGGTCTCTGTCTTCTTCTGTATGTTGAAAAGCCTGTGATGTTTCCTGCTCCTGAACATAATAGCTTTATGAAGAAGAGGTCATATATGTCCAGGGCCTGGTGCTTCAGGGTGTGTCCCTAGTGTATGCTGTGTGCACTGGGTTGCTGTGTTTTGGCTGCTCTATCTTTCAGGTCAGTCATCTGAGAGGCTCTCCTTGCCAGCAGTGGCAGTGTTTGGGCTTTGGCCAGAGTGTGGCAATTTTTAACTAAGTGTGCTCTGGTCTGCTTGTTAAATGGAAACTTGCTGTGACCCAGAATAGTTGGAGGCAACTATATGAAGAAGACTCGAAGACTCACTGAATTTTAATTTGGGGGGGGGCAGGAGGACCAAGACTCAGACTCAAACCAGAATTGGACTCAGACCCTGAGGCTTTGTCTCCTCCAGTTTTTATTAAGAGAGCTAGCAGATTGACTATAGGAATGATTAACTTTGGGAAGCAGAGAAAAACATGTTAAGTTCAAAAGGTAAAGGAATAGGCTATTGACTCAAGGAGGGGGGAGCAGAGGAGCTGTATTGGAGACCAATGTGGTCAAGAGTCAGTGTGCCAACTCAGGACCTCACATATCCCCAGTGTGCTGAGGACTATAAGGTTCAGTTCTCAGATAAGCTAAGCAGCTGGTTTCCCACAGAACCTGACGCTCTTTCCACTAGAAATGAAGCCTTGCAGAACTCTCTGGTTGGTAGATGTGGTGTGGGCAGGGGGTTCTGTTGGTGTGAAGTGGCCCACTGTGCTGCAATTGAGGCAAACTTTACTGAGAAGAGCTGTACCAGCAGAGAGCAGAGGTGTGGGACCTGATATAAGCAGGTTAGGCAGCCAGTGTCGACTTGTGCTTTTTACAGAAGGTGGTTCTGTGTTTATATGGAGTCATGGGGGAGGGAAATGGTACTAGTCATCTCCTTTGTCCACAGAGAGGAGTTTCTATGCTTGCTGCTCTCAGGGAAGCACTCCAAGAAAAGTGAATAATCTCCCCCGGAGTGTCCCAGGTGCTTTTCAGACAGCTGTTTTCATGCTATCACCTCGGGGTTTTTGCCTGCATTCTCTCCAGGCAGTGCAGTGCCTTGTGGGCTCTATCCCAGTCAAGCCTGCTGATTTTTAGAATACCAGGCTTTAGGAACATAGTGTGGGTAAAAGCTTGCACTGGTCTTCTGGGGAAGGATCTTGCCCCACTGGGATTAATGCAGGTTTGACCAGATGTGCAAGAGTGCCAAGACATAGGACTTGGAGCAAGGAGGCTAGACAAGCAGTGTTTGGGTTAGCTACCTTCAGCAGGTGGCTCTCCACTTATGCTGAGGGGTGGGGTAGGGAATGGCATCCTCAGGCTCATTTGTCCCCTGAGTGGTATGTCTGAACACTACCTCTCATGGACACATTCCAGGATGAGCAAATAATCTCCCCATTCTGTGTCCAAGGTGCTCTTCAGATTGTACTGTCTGCCCCCCATGTTATTTGCCTGGCTTCAGAGTAGGGTAGCACCCTCACACCTCTATCCCAGCTAAGTCTGACAACCATTATAACTTCAGTCTTCAAGCCAGGCTGGTTGAAAAAAATCATAAAAATCAGTCCCTCTTGTTCTCATGTGTTCCCTTGTGTACTCCTCTGTCACCTTTCTCTGCTACTAGGGCTCCCCCCTTTCCACAGCACCCACAATCTGTTTCTCTCCAAAACACATCTCTACACTTTCTACCTTCCTCAATGTGACCTCTTCTCTCCCTCTACTTGTGAAGTTTGTTTGGTCAGTCCTCAGGTTAGTTTCTTGGATATTCAGAATGATTTGGTAGCTATCAAGTTGTGTTTGTGGGATGAGATGAACCTTTGGTCCTCCTACTATGCTGCTATCTTAGCTCTTTTTCTAGTTTTAAAATTATTGATTAGAACTCAGTGACAATCTGACATACAAGTCTGATAATAATAGTGTTGGGTCAACTACAGGCATTTTGGAAACTTTTGAACCTGTCACCAATAGCCAAGGAAGTTTCTTATTGACAGGATGATGAAGTTAATAAAATATCAGGTAAAATTCAAACCAGATATTTGATGTAGGTCTTACAACCAAATATATGGTTTCCTTAGACTAAAAAAAATGCTATATACATAGTTTGGTGTTCTTTATACTATCTTTGCAAGCTTTTAGTTAAAACACACTCTTCAAGTTCTAATATTCTAAATTATTTTATAGCAACTTAATAGTCACAGCACTATGTATATATTTACTGACTAATAAAGTTAAGAATTATAGATGGCATAGATCCCATTTTGGGTATAGAAGTAAGCATCTTTCCAGTGTAATCAATGGGAGCCATCACTCATGTTGGAAGTTTAAAATAATATAATATATAAATATAAAATACAAAAATTATATAACATACTTGATATAATACCCTTGGCTTATTTTTTTTTCTTTCTTTAGGTTAAGGTATTCTCTTATTTAATAAAGGATAATGATTAGATGTTAAACCTATTGCCAAGGATGTCTGGCCTAAATTTCCATTATAATAGTAACAACAAACTGTTTATAGGACTCTATCCTAAGGAGAGAGGCAATAAGTCAAAATTCCTGGTGAAAACCACTAAGCTCAGCAAAAAGGAGAGGAAGGCAAGTAGGTTTGAATTTCTTTTAAAGGTTTTTTTCTAGCTTTATTGAGAAATAATTAATAAATAACACTATGTAAGTTTAAGATATTACAATTCTGCACTCAATTTCCAGTGTTGGGGAAGAGTATATTTTCCAAAGAATTTTTGAACACCAGCTGGTTATTTTATAATTCAGCTTGATTCTGATAGTATCTACTGAAAGATAGTGTCAAATTCCACAGGTTAAAGATTCAGTCCTACTGAATTTAGGAAATCCTAAAGATTTCCCTCTCTACCACTTCAAGTACCAATTGTAATCCATAAGTTATCACCTGTGTTTCTGACCAACCAGTTATAAATTGGGAATTCCAACGACTCACTTCCTAGAGCAGCTCACAATGCTTATAAACATTTTACTCACTGGATTACCAGTTTATTACAAAGGAAATAACTCAGAAATAGCCAGATAGAACAGATGCATAAGGCAAGATATTGCGAAAAGATATAGAGCTTCCATGTCCTCTCCTGGCATACTACTCTCCAGGAATCTCCAAGTGTTCACCAACCTAGAAACTCTCTGAACTCCATCCTTTTGGGTTTTTATGGATGTTCATTACATGGGCATGACTTATTAAATCATTGGTCATTGACAATTGACTCAACTTCCAGCACTGCTCCCCTCCCAGAGATTAGGGGAGTGGGACAGAAAGTTCCAAGTCTTTAATCATATGGTTAGGTCTCCTGACAACCAGTTCCATTCTTGGGTTACTTATGATGCTTTCCCAGAGTCATTATATTAACATAACAAAAAACATCATTATGCCTCTCATCCCTTAGGAAAATCCAATATTATAGAAGCTCTGTGGCAAAAACAAGGACAATAACCAACATATATTTCTTATTATAAATCACAGTATTACAGGTAGATGATGTGATGACTTAATACACGTATAGATTGCAAAATGTTTGCCATAATAAGGTTACTTAACATATTCTTCATTTCACATAATTATCATTTTGTTGTTGTTATGGTGAGAACATTAAAACTCTATTCTTATAGCAACTTTCAAGAAACAGAGCAGGATTGTTAAGTATAGTTACTGTGTTGAAAATTATATTCCCAGAACTTATTCATCTTATAACTGAAAGTTTGTACATTTTGACTAACATCTCCCCATTTATCCCATCCCTCAGCTCCTGACAACCACCATTCTACTTTCTGCTTCTACAATTTTGATTTTTTTTAGAGTCCATTTATAAGTGAGATTATATGGTATTTCCTTCCCTCTGACTTCTCTCACTTAGCATAATGTCATCAAACTCCATCTATGTTGATACAAATGGCAGGATTTTCTTCTTTTTTATGGCTGAACAACATTCCTGTGTGTGTGTGTGTGTGTGTGTGTGTGTGTGTGTGTGTGTGTGAATCTCACATTTTTCTTTATCCATTTATCTATTCATAGATACTTCTATTGCTATCATATATCTTGGCGACTGGGAATAATGCTGCAATGAGCATGGAAGTGCAGATATCTTTTCAAAACAGTGATTTCATATTCCTCAAATATATAACCCAAAGTGGGATTGCTGGATCATATGGTAGTTCTATTTTTAATTGTTGAGGACCCTCCATACGTATTCCATAATGGCATTACCGATTTCTGTTCCCATCAACCAGGAATTAGGGCTTCCTTCCCACCATATTCTACCAGCATTTGTTACCTTTTTTTTTTTTAAATAAGAGCCATTCTAACATGTATGAGATGAAATCTCATTGCTGTTTTGATTTGCAGTTCCCTATGATTCAAGTCCTCTGCCCATTTTTTAATCTGACTGATTTTTGCTATTGATTTTTAGGAGTTCCTTATATATTTTGGATTTTAACCATTTATTGGATATATTTTCAATATATTAGATATGTTTGAATATATTTTATCCCATTCAGGAGGTTGCCTTTCATTTTGTTGATTGTTTCTTTTGCTTTGCAAAAGCTATGGTTTGATGTAGTCCTGCTTGTTGATTTTCTTGTTGCTGTCGTTTGTGCTTTCTGTGTCATATACACAAAATTATTGTTCGAGAACTATATCAGAGTTTTTTCCCTTCATTTTCTTCAAAAAACTTTAGTTTCAAGTTTACATTTAAGTCTTTAATCAATTTTGGGTTAATTTTGTGAGTAATGTAAGTTAGGGTTCCAACCACATTTTTTGGCATGTGAATTTCTAGTTTTCCTAACATCATTTGTTGAAGACATAATTATCTATCCCCATTGAATACTCTTGGCTTCCTTTTTAATTTTTGTTGACCATGTACTTGTGGGTTTATTTCTGACCTTTTATTCTGTTCTATTGGTCTATGTTTTGGATTTTATGTAAGAACTTTACTGTTTTGATTACTATAGCTTTGTAATATAGTTTGGATACTGGAAGTGTGATGCCTCCAATTTTGTCCTTAGGATTTCTCCAGCTAATTAGGGTCTTTAATGGTTCTATATGAATGTTAGTATTCCTTTCTATTTGTGTTAAAAATATCATTGGGGGATCCCTGGGTGGTGCAGCGGTTTGGCCCCTGCCTTTGGCCCAGGGCGCGATCCTGGAGACCCGGGATCGAATCCCACGTCGGGCTTCCAGTGCATGGAGCCTGCTTCTCCCTCTTCCTGTGTCTCTGCCTCTCTCTCTCTCTCTGTGACTATCATAACTAAATAAAAAAATAAATAAATAAAATAAAAATATCATTGGAATTTTGATAAGGATTACACTGAATCTATAAATGGCTTTGGGTATGGTTATTTTAAAATCTTAATTCTTCTGATTTATGAACATGGGATATCTTCCATTTACATATATTTACTTATATTTTCTTTGATATCTTTTTTTGTATATTTTTTATTGGAGTTCAATTTGCCAACATACAGCATAATACCCAGTGCTCATCCCATCAAGTGCCCAACTCAGTGCCCGTCACCCAGTCATGCCAACCCCCCACCCACCTCCCCTCCCACCACCCCTTGTTCATCTGCCAGAGTTAGGTATCTTTTATGTTTTGTCACCCTGACTGATATTACTTCACTCAGCATAATATCCTCCAGTTCTATCCACATTGAAGCA